GAAACATCATTAAATAATATAAAATACAGTACAGTAGATAAAATACAGTTGAGTGTTTAGCACGTTTGCTTGTTGAATTAAGAGGTGCAGTGGTTTTTAAATTTTCACAGTAGTGTTTCGAATGTGGCATTAAGGGCATGTGAGTGCTCTTTAAAAATGATCCCAAAACCACAATGCACCCAAATGCACCGACTTTATTATTTTACTCTGTCTAACGCCAGAGGAATTTACTTGTCAAAGAGAGTCTTATGCGTCAATAGTTAAATGCGTAAACATGCATGGTAATTTTACATAATTCAGAACTTCTTTATCTTTAGAAATGTGATTTATTTCATTTTATTGTCATAACTAAACAATCAGGCCAACCAATATCAAACAGGTGCAAAAAATGCAAATAAATATCAAAAACATTGAAATAAACATTACCTGTACAAAATATGAAACTTTATATTTAGGCGTAACTCTGTGTAGACGATAGGGTCTAGAAAAACAAAACAGTCACTCAAACTTTTATTCAAAAATCTCTTGATTTATTCACAGTAGAAATATTACAGATACTGGTAACTGGATTTGAAATGTAGTCCTTGGAGCAAAGAAGCATCCAGCCAGATCAGGTAAGGGCAGGTGCTCATGCACCAAGCTTTAGTCTTGGACTCTTGGTTCAGTGTGCGACCATTACAGGAAAACATTTCAAAACCCATGTGAATGGAAAAATTTCTATACTGGTGTATTGTCTCGAGTTCGCGCTCCAGATACATATGGTACTCACTGGGCAAGTCATGCCAAGGAAATGCCATTTGAGAGATTAATCTGAAAAAATATAAGGGCCAGACGAAGGGGCTTCGCTCAAAACGTCGAAATTCTCCTTACATATTTTCAGGTAGTTGCATCCCTACCAACGAAAGCTTGGTCATTTGAGAGACTCTAGATTTCAAAAGTTTCAGGAGGTCAAGCACCCTGGAATTTTAATTTGTGAACAAGAGGCGAGATCTTACCCGGAAGTACTGAAACTGTATGGTGGATCCTGCACCAATAGTGATGTCAGTAAAGATAATCCAAGAAATATTAAGATTGGAATAAGATGCATTATACTTCCCACACCATTCTGAAACATAAAATGATCAACAATTTAATTTAAAAGATGGACATTTGTAATACGTCCAGGTGTCTACAGACCAGTGTGTAATACAGTATAACGGTCAGCCACCAGCCATTGTCCGAGCGAAACACTGATATGGCCGTCTACTGACTGTTCGTGCAAACCTTTTTAATTAAATCTGTAATCGGTTCGACATGCAAAAGAAGATTCCGATTCCTAGACAATCGCAGATTCCAAATTTTTCTCGATCCATAAATGAATAATAATAATATAACAAGACACAACTACAGAGCCTGAAATAACGGCCGGCGGCCGGCGGTTTTCCGACCAAATTCCGATTTTTCCGACCAAATGCTGAAATGATCGGAAATTTTGTCCGGCCAAATTTTGAGAAAAAGAAAAATGTTTTCTTAATGATCGGGTCGGCGCTCAGCACAGTAAGTACCATCTGTAAGTTTGGATTATCTATATTAGGCAAATATAAAGTAATCAACTGGAAGGTATAGTTCACGGGCCCAATAAACAAGATGGCAGCTTACAGCGTGGTGTTGTCGGGTCAAGATAAAAACCAGGGCGCTTATATATATATAATGTTTGACAGAGTTTGCTCATCGGGGGTGGGGGTGGGGGTTGGACTTGGTCAAACTAAACTAAAAAAAATTCCGGTCAATTTTGCAAATTTCCGGTCAAATTTCGTTTTGATCGGAAGTTTTTCCGGACAAATTTTAAAATTATTGCAGGCTCTGCAACTACTCGCCATTTCATCAATTAATTATTAAACCAACTCCCTTCTATTATAATAATTGCTTCGAGGACAAGAAATTTTATGTTAGTCAAATGATTTAATTTGGATTCGAAAAAATTATTTCGGTCTTATACGTTTCCAAACAAATGCTTCCTCACCCGAGAAACACTTTTTTCTTTGTATCCAAACAATTGTTGCCAAAAGAAAACAAAGCAATGTTTGTGCCAAACAAACATAAATTCATAATTTGCTGGCAGCCTATATATAAGTGTCTCTCCTGAGTTATATAAATAATTAGTGTCTGATCATGTCCGACCAAAACGTGGGTTGGTCTGATATAATGTCACACCACATTTCCACGATTATATTGAACTCTGTTAACGGTACACATGTCAGTGCTTGTGTCTTTCATCTCTGTGATCAGATTCTGATTCCTACAATATGCAGTTGACAGCTGGGTGCTTGTAGTTTAACTCTACAAACCCTGCAAGTTTTCCCTTGGTTGAACATCTCGAAAGAGATGACAATTTCCAATTTCCATAGGGCAGAGAAAGGCAGAGATGGATAATGTGGGGGTGCAAGGGGCTGGGCAGAACAGTTTAGACTGAAGTTCTAAGAAAACTCTCCAGATCCAATATAAAGTTGAGTAAATTAGTTCGAAAATGGTAAATCAGTAAATCACCTCGTGTACTTCTTGCTCCTCATCATCGTGTTGACGATGCCTCCGTCGTCGAGGATGCCGCCGATGTACAAACACTTGGTCTGAAAAAAAATAGTAGAGTACAGTACGTCAATGTTTCCCAAATTACCAGACACATAAAAGATGGTTAAATATCTCAATAATATGACTTACTTCCTGCCATCCCACCAAAGAACATGTTAAAGAGATCTTCTGGTGTGATATCAGCTGAAAATGTAAAAAAAAAAGTGAATGACTGACGTACAGTAGTCAACATGCCATCCCATGTATATGCCTTTCAAATACTTGGGTTGTAAAAATCTATAAAGAATTTCCACCAATTTTGGAGTAGCAAAGAATACAGTATAAAGATTAGCTTTCATTGAACTTTCATTATATTAAAATTACTGTATAACCCAAAACCTCAGGGAGCCCATCCCGGCTCTTATTGAAGTTATGTATTAGAATTACCTATGAAATATATAGCTCAGTGTTGAAGCCTGTGATTTGCGGAGCCCTGTGTGCGGGCTAACGCGCGCGTTAGCCCGCAAATCGCAGGCTTCAACACATAACTTCAATAAGGGTATGGCATACCCACAGAGCTGAGCCTTTACTCAAAAGGGTATGGCATACCCACAGAGTTGAGGCTCCAATAACAGGTTCCCCAGGCCCAATAACTTTTAACAGTCAGATAACTCACATGCTTAGCTACATACTGTACTGTACCATTGTTATAATAATTCATGCATATGTATGATACGATAGTACAAGCACATGTGTGAATTCTTGTGGGTCTAAAATTTACATTTTTTTCAATATATATAAATACCACTGGGATACCATGCAGGATTCAAAGTTCTAGTATCCCATCTCTCAATCCAGTAACCCACTTCTGGATACAACTTGCCATACATTTTGGCATCCCTGAACCATCAAGGTAAGTAAGCAGTACATGTCTCTCATTGTCATAAATTACAACAACTAGACAGTCAACAACTACTGTATAGAGCATCAAGTTGGAAATCAAAGGCTGGTTATTTTCAAGAAGGCAGACACATAGTATTCAAAGCTATTGGGAGACCACTGGAGACATTTAGCATTATCCTAATGTTTGAAATTTTGTTATATCCAATTGGTATACGCGTCATTCACATTTTGGTATCCAAAACCAAATTTTAGTATCCTGTAGATAATTGGATACTGCAAATTTCAGACCCTGAGTATAAACATTTTATGTACAGTAGTAACAGTACCTTCGAACTCATGATGATAATGACTGTGATTATGATTCAAGGCTGGTGAGTCAGGTCCATACAAGTCATACTTCTTTCTCTTTTCTGGATTACTTAGGATTGCAAATGAATTACCAATTGCTAGAAAATACAGTGAGAAAACATTTAGCTCATCAAAACATAATACAATATAATAGACAATTCCAGCTAATCGACTATTTTTTTATCTAGACAAGAAAGACGAAATATATCATTATAGCTCAAAAGAGCATCCTAAAATTAGTGAAATTGCAACGTTTGGTTGCGAAATGTTGTAAAATACGGAAATACTAATTGTATGTGGGATGCTCTTTTGAGCTATAACGATATATTTCGTCTTTCTTGTCTAGATAAAAAATTAGTCGATAGCTGGGATTATCTATTGGTTACAACAAATACCACCACTGCCGTCGAGGGGGGGGGGAGGGGGGCATTTTGCCCTGTTTGTAAAACAACACCTCCCCTGTTTGCCAAGGAAAATTTTGGTCCAGACCCAGCACACCAAAATAACATAGAAAGCAATCCCAGATGCTTTGGTAAATTTTGCTTTGAAACAATCATTTTATTGCAGAATAATTTGTGATCAAATACACCCTACTTTGCGGATTTACTCTAGCTAACAATCTACTGTACCTACAGTCAGTACAGTATATTAGAGGACAAACTAATCTGCCAATCACAGCACACTCAGAAGAATGACGAACCAATATTTTAATTTGTATAGACCATGGGTCATGCCATATTTTGGTTTCACGAAATTATTTCCTTCTTACCACAAGAAATGTCAAGGGAAATGTTATTCTTTCAGCGAAGGGCTTTCGCTCAAAACATCAAAGTTCTGCTTCCAAACTCCGAAGCTTTCTTATTGACATTACCTACAGTACACTGACACAGACTGTTCAAGATTATAGTCAAGGAATACTCTTAGAGAAATAACTCTGTCTGAATGGACCTATTCTCTAATGAACAAAATTCCGAAGTTTCGTTGCGAAATGTTGTAAAATGCGGATAATATAGCCCTGCAAAGTTTGCCGCTTTTCAGTCATTTTGTATTACACACGGGAAATTGATACCGCTTTCTGAAAAAAGGTATCAATTTCCCGTGCGTAACAAAATGACTGAAAAACGGCAAACTTCGCAGGGCTATATTATCCGCATTTTACAACATTTCGCAACGAAACTTCGGAATATTACTAATTTTGTGATGCTCTTTCAAGCCGTGATAAAATTGTTGTCTAGACCTGTCTAGATCAAAATTTTGTTCATTAGGTAATGGGTCCATTCTAACATACATGTACACACATATGTACTGTACCTTTAAATGCTTCAGTACTTCCAGGAGCTCTGTTTTTATCAGGATGAAACTGTAATGCTAATTTCTTGTACGCTTTTCTTAGGTCTGCATCTTTTGCATCTTTTTCAATACCAAGTATTTCATAGTAATCCTTCAATTTATTTATCCTACACAAAAGACATAACATCAGAATCAAGCTTAGTATATTCCATTTCTGCATCAGTCAATTCCAGCTGCGACCATCCCTCGGGACAACCCCGGGCATTGGTAAATTTTCGTTTTTTTCGTGCAAATGCCCTGGGGTAGGGCCAAAAAAAGGAACAATGCCCCACCTTTGGGAGGAAAAACGAAACAAATGCCCCACCCTCGGGCCGACAAATTAGTCAATTTCAAAGAATGTACTAAATTAATTACATGTGTTTTAACAATTTGTATTTATACCTCTGTTAATTGTTCTTTTGGGAATTTACAAAAAAAAACAAGGAAAACTATCGTGTTCATTTCAGATGAAAACATCGACGAAAGGCTGTGACACACTTGCTTTTATTGCAGAAAGTTTTTCATTGTAAATACAATATATATAATATGGACTGAAGGAAATTCTTAAACATTGATTCACACTTTAATAATATAATATAAAATTTGTTTAACGTATTTAATAGTCGTCCATTTTGGCATACAACAAAGGAAACTTGTGGCCGCGATCTTCTCTGTGAGCGACAAATGCCCGGGGTAATAAATTTTGTAATATCCAGTAGGGATGCAAGTCATTTTTTTTCTTCATATTTCACTAGTAAAATACATGTACATGCAAATATGAGTGTTTTAGTTTCCGGTAAAATACCAATATCCATATAAGAAATCTTTTTATTATATAAAATAAATAAAGTATAGTGCTCTATAAAGATTTCAAGCACTGGTAATAATTTCACATGTGAAAATTATCGCTTTTCAAAGACTGTCCTTTGTATAATAAACAGCAAAATACATTGATGCTTGGAAATACCAGATTTATTTCTCGTATTTCCGCGCATCCATGTATTATTCTCTATTTAATTAAATTAAACTATATATTATTATAATACCAGTCAATTTTAATTTTGATAGGAAAAGGTTTTCAGTATTTGGATTAACCCAAGGCCAAAAAAAAATGTGGGTTTCCGGTCTCTTCTTATAAAAACTTAGGTAGGGTAGGTCGGTTTTAACTTTTTTTTTAAAACTTTTTTTTTTAATTTTCCTAACAACCGGACATCATTTTGTTTAGTCAGTGCTTCCACATCCAAAGATAAATTTCCCTACTATTGCCTCAAATTTCAATTTTCCACAAACTTTTTGCTCTAAGTGGAAACACTTACAAGCATGATCCAATAAAAAAGTTTAGGGTCGGGATTTCGACGTCCAAAAGCTAGGTAGGGTCGGGAAACCGGAAACCCACTTTTTTTTTGCCCAATGAGTGTCAACACTTTCCCCTTGGCAAGTAAAATTGTCTGGCGTCAGACAGAGTAACAGAACAAAGTGGGATGCATTAGAACACAGTGCAAGTAAAATGGTTAGAATTGCTTTGGAGATACAACTACCAGCACCTAAAAAATAGAAGAACTTCAAGCGAAGGCCATTCGTCGGGAAGTACTAACTTCTCGACAAAGGGCCTTCACTCAAAATGCTGAACAGATTTAGCCACCTTTTTAAGAAATAAAGGTGGTAAATATAAATAGAGTACGTACACATAACATTTACCTTTTAACCTCAGCTAGTTGTTCAGGAGTATAATCAGGTTCCTTTGTCTTCTCATCTTCTTCTGCAGTTTCTTTATCTGTGTCTTTATTTTTGTCTTTATCTTTGTCAGCTTTATGAGTTGAACCATTTGGAATATTACCATTCGTAGTCTGTGTTGTAGCTTTTTTCTCAAGTTCTTGCAGCAACTCTAAAATTTCAACATGTAAGAATGAGTACGTAGTTTTAAAAAGTGAAGAAAAGTGCAGAAATTACAGTGTAAGGGTAGCGTAATCGACTATGCACATATATATAAAGTGGTAATGATGCACTTCAAATCTTGCTCTAAACTATAAAGTCTAAACGAAGATGAATGGTGGTGTCAGCGATAATTTTCATACACCACAATATGACTTGTACACAACAAATCGCAGTGTGTAAACATATACCTTAACAAGACATGTGGGCGGATAGTCTGATTAACCCATTGAGACAGAGTGGCAGTACTTTCCCCATGATGAGTAAAATTTGTCTGGTATTAGAATTTTATCGCGGCATTTGCCATAGAGGGAGAACAAAATACTGTGGATCATTGCGGCAACGACGGCAATTTCTTGCCGTATACAGTAGTATAATTTTTATACTATTCACTGTGCATTACTATTTTGATACTTGAATTCAGGTGTTGATCAAATCATGCGTAAACTATACTATCTTAGTCTCAGTTTTCTTCAAAATGTGAAAACATGTTTCTAGCTTGTCAGCAATCCAAAAGTAACAATAAAACTGTTATTACAGTAACTTGAAAAAATGCTGTGGAAACTGGCAATTTTAATGCCATTGCCATCGATTGATTTCAGGGAAATTCGAGGCCTGGATAGAGCAAAACAATAATTAAAGTAGGTTGCAACTTAATGGTTTACCAAGACTAGTTTACCATCACATCTTATGTTTAATCATACAGTAGCTCACACTAGTTTTGTTCACAGGAAATAACAGGCCAAATGCGTCGAAGCATAGAAGGATTTTCTGGGGGTGTGCACCACCAAAATATTTTGCACCCCCATAGCCATAAAACTTTCCCACCCCACCAGGAGACATTTGCACCTAGCAGAAATTTAAATGCTCACTGGATTAAATGACAGTAATGTGATTCAAATAAGGATTGTGAACTAAGTAAGTCTAAAAACACTTGGACTTTGAACTAAATAAGACCAAAAATCTCAAAATCTTCTGAATTTTTTTTCCTTCCCCCTTCCCCCCATTAGCAACTGTGCCCCAAAATGATGTTATGCACCCCATCCCTACAGTAATCAGGGTCTTAGCTACATAGCACTTTATATCTTGGGCATGTTTCTAAACTTCCAGGGTGCATGCGCCCAGGCATGTTAATTGCCTTGAATAGCCGAAAGCATGATTCCAGTTATGCTTGTCAACAATAGACTATACCTGTGGTTGTTCTATGCTTTTCAACCTTGAAATACAAGGCGAGCATATGCTCATATTTCGCACTGACATTATAATAAATTACTTTAGCAACCCTCGGGGCATTTAAAGCCTTTTTAATTAACAACCATATGGTGATAATGGTATCTATCATTACAACATCATGGATCACTTTTATCAATTTCAACAACTACCGGTACAGCAAATTTTACAAAGAAATTCTCTATGTTGTAAGTAGTAGCACCTTATTTTATGAACCATGCACAGCCAAAAATAAATAATGAAACCGTGTTCATTTCATCTAGCTGTGTTTTTACATTTTTCAATTTTTGGCCTTGATAACACGGCCAACACAGCCTTCTAGCTAAGACCCTGCCCATAATTTTTTGACAAAAAAAATCTGAAAATCCGTCTATGCAGGGAAGAGTGTGTCAATAATCTAACAATACACCTTTCCAGAATGTATGTCACCTTGTCTATAGAGGATTAGGATTAATATTTCTATAGTGCACATTATACAGTCATATGTGGATATAATCAAATATGCTTTACATAAGTATTACGCTTACCTAATTACTTACGTAGCCTAGACTACATGGCAAAAAACGCCGAGCCCGCTGCTCAACAGGATTGAACAATGTTTTGCTGCCCACGTTGTTCACACTTGCCAACAGTACTGAACAATACTGTTGAGCCTGAATCGGGTCTAACAATATTGTTCAATATTGCTGACAACTGTGAACAATGTGGGCAGCAAAACATTGTTCAATCCTGTTTTCATCAATATTGCATCAACCTGAGCATTTTTTACACGTGTATTTTATCCTTACAACAATTGTGATATTACTTTCTTAACTGTGTTTATCCTAACCCACCCTGTCAACTTCCCTGTGGGAGGAAACTGGAGCACCCGGAGAAAACCCACAACTTTCGGCAGAGCATTGACTGACTCTTTACACATGAGACATAGTGAGAATCAAACCCACAAAATCAGAGGTGCTTGCTCAGACTGATGACTATGCCACTGAAGCATCTCATTTTTGACTCACGGATGTTGCGGTCTTTGTGGTTTACTTGAGTGGGGGCAGTTAAACAATGGGAAATGACCAGCCTGCTTTGCGCGCAGTGTTTGCCTGCGAACGGGTCTTTTGGAACCGAAAATTGGGCTGGAGCACGCTTCACGTTCTTTTCAACTTTTGACTTTTTGACAAGCGTATGTTAAATTAAAAGGTGAGTGTTTCGTTTTTGTTTAGTTGACTTAATTGTTATCTGTTTTTCTACTTCACCCAACAGATCTGCTGTTAACACACTGATCTACCTTTTTAGCTGAAATATTAACAATATTTTGTTCAATATATATACAAGTGTTCACATTTTCTGGTGCCTTTCGAGCGCCTCTGTCAGCTGTGTTTCAACACCGTTTCAACACTGTTTCCATAGTTTCTGTCGATTGAAAGAGTTTTTGTTTACCAAATTTAATCATGTTATTTAAATAATTCATGTTTTAGCTGTCACGGAATACAAAGGACATATTTGTCTTACTTGAAGCAACACGACACAAAATCTTGGTATTAAAGTCACGTTGCCGTTGTATATTTCATGACTGCGCTTGCACTGTAGCCTAGTATCAGCTGGCACGCACGAGTCTCAGCAGGGTATCGATAAATCGCTTCATTTTTATCCTCTATCAGGAGAATTTCAGCTGTCCTTATGCTCTTTGATGAATGTCCCACTTATATTTAGACGCAATGAAACAACATCAAAACCACTAGTTAATCCAACGAAACTCTGTCGGATTACTGGGGATGGCAATTGTTTATTTAGAGCACTGTCGTATATTTTAACCGGTAGACAAACATACCACATGATTTTAAGGACAAAAAATAGTGGATCACATGAACAGTATAGAACATGTCCTTAGACCATATATGAATAGTTCAGTAGATCATTATTTAGCCACAAGCAACATGAGGAACAGTGGTGTGTGGGGGACTGATATTGAAATTTTTGCAGCCATTCCCTTTTCAATGTAGATATTTATGTTTATTCACAGTTTGGTAACAATTATAAATGGTCTAAAAAGAAAAAGAATATTGGACACTGAGGCAGCATTACCACCTGGATTTACTTAAACACTGTACTGCCATTGGACAGCTACCTGTACCGTTGTACCAATAAGGGTGCTGTTTTATAGTTGTTCTGTTTAAATTTTTCTGTTCAACACTGTACACTGTACATCATACAGCTACGGTCATTGATGCATCATGTACTGTATTGGTTACAGCTTTATACTTATAGCTATCATGTTTAAATTGTCCTGTTCAACACGGTAGATCGGACAGCTACGGTCATTTGATATATTACATTGGGGACAGCTTTATACTTATTATAGTTATCATGTTTAAATTGTCAGTCTGTTTAACACTGTACATATCGGAAAGCCACAGTCATTGGATGTACTGATACTGACTGTATTAGGTACAGCTTTATACTTATAATTATTCTGTTGAACACTATACACACCTGACAGCTACGGGTATTGTACTTTTATATAGATTTGCTTTGATGGTGTGTAGTTTTATAATAATCTATCAGATTGTTTTTTCAAGACTGTTGATATTGGTTAGGGACAGGTCATTATTTATGGAAGGGGGGGAGGGGAATTTTTTCTTTTCTAAATTTTTAAAATTGAAAGCCCCCCTCCCCTAAATGGCAGAAATTTAATGATGCCCCCCCCCTGCATATTAGAATATTTTTCTTTGACCCCCCCCCCATTTTCATTTTTACTCGTCAAATGGGGATACCCAGGCGTTATAGTATTAATTATTAAATAAGAATATGGAACTGGCAAGATATTAACGTCGACCAAAAATATATATTTATTAGCAGAAAATTATAATTAAAAGAGGAGTATTTTTATATATAACACTAAAATCAGGTTTCCATTTGGTCTGGGCGATTGTAACCATGTTTAAGGCTGCAACTAGACTTGATGGTACGAAGTATTGCCATAGCAGCTGCGCGGCAACAATGAGAGTAACAATCAGTAATATTAGCAGCAAAAGGAGATAGCAATGACAATTCTGCAAAGGCATACCTGCGAAATACAATGTATAGTGGTCTATACATCCTATTTTATGTGAGATTTAAAATTATATAAAATAAAATGACATATACTAGCTACCAGATAAAATCTTTTAGAATGAACATGGGTGGGTGGGTCGGGAAAAGGTATCGAAGCACAAAACTTGCTGCAGCTAGGCAAAGCATACAATGGCAGAATGAATACCCAGACCCAAGCACTGATCACAAGGCATGAAACAACCCCCTTTGATCGATATGACGTCACAGACTTCCTTCAGCGGATGTGGCCTGCATAATACAAACGCTGTTAACTGCTTAATTTAAATGTATTTAACTACATCAAGAGCTGATGTAATAATACATTGTCAATTTAACTAGTCTGCAATCCGTAAAGACTGATTTGCATACAGCACACACAAGACAAGATGAATCCAGACTATTTCACATCAGTGACCATGATTTAGTTGCAACATTTACAACCAAATGGATACCAGGTTATTAAGCAAATTCCTTCAAGTTTAATTGCAACCCCCCGTCATTTTCTTGAAAAAATTTAATAGCCCCCCCCCTTCTAGTCATTTATTTCTACATATGCCCCCCCTTATCTTTTCCCTCCCCCCCCTTCCATAAATGATGACCGGTCTCTTATTGTTAAAATCGAGGATGTCGTTAAAATTAAACTGTGTAAACCTGTAAGATCTTCGCCCCAGTTCGGGAACATTTTATATTATGTTGTGTTTTACCAAATAATGTCCTTGCCCTTGCACGGTTCCCATTTGTAAAAAACTGCTGTAAATCATATCCCCCTTTAATTAATTTGATCTCATCCGTGAGTCGGCCTCGAAGGCCTTTGATCGTTTATGTGACATAGAAGCCAATCATCACAAGAACATGGCTCTGTAGCCAAGGTGACATTCCAAAGCAACATAATAAACCTGATAGATAAGTCTGATAGATAAACAAGCATGTCTGCAACTATTCCTTGTTTATAGGAAGACAGGAAGTTAATATTAATTTACTGATGATCATTGATGAAATATTGGAGACATTGACTATAAAATTATTTACCTTGTTTATCTATTCATAAAAAGCAAATATAAAATATTCTGTTGAAAAATATTTTAATATTTGTAACATCAAGATTTTACATTCAAATATAATTTAAGTAAACTGTAACTAACCATATTTAAATCCCAATATGTTACTTATATATGTCACGCACAAAGCACAAAAGTTTAATGAAATTGAACAGCCACGTTTTTATGTGACGGTGCATAAGCAGGAAACTATTGAAGTTTATAAGATTAGAAATCTTAAAAAACCTTAACATGACCTTAACACTAAACTCTATAAAGAAAACACACATTTAAAACCTCTAAACAGTTCTGTTGAAAAGCTTAGCTACAGTTAAACTGAGGCAAAAAATGTACGAATTAAACACGCTAAAGCACTTACTTTCGGCTTCTTTTAAAGGATAAAGCTTCTGTGACTTATTCACAAACTTTTTAGCCTTTTCTTTGTCGCCTTTGGCGTGATATCGACGGGCAATTTCAAGACATTTTTTTGCTTCGTCTTTATTGCCCTCCATATTTTATGTAATTTTTGTGTCGCATCCACTGATCTGAAAACATGGCAACTTGCACTGGAACGCGCGCATCCGTTATAAATGAAGCCAATAAGGCAATAACAGTTCATAGATAAACTGTGAGCCAATGAAGCCAATGGCGACCATATCGATTATTGATGTGATTGACCATCACTCCATCACAAATCTATTGTGATGTTGGTGACAAAGTGGAAGAGGTTCTTACAGTTTCTAGTTGTCCGTGGGAAGGGATAAACATTGTCTGAATATAAATTTATCAACAGAGGACTCTCTTCCCCTATTTGCCCGTGAATAGTTTCGGATCGTGGATTTCACCGAAAATCCGTGAATAGGGGTGAATAGGTTTTCGGATCGTCGGATTTCACCGAAAAAATTGTTCGGATTTCGGATCTGGTGAATATTTTACACGGATTTGCGGATCTTATTACTACAGCGGATCGACTGCGGATTTATCTAATATTTTGGCTCGGATTGTGGATTTAGCTTGCAATTTAGTTCGGATCCTGGATTGTGACTTCATAGTAGAGCTTTTAGCGGATTCAAATTTAGACAAAACCATTGTCGGATCGCGGATTTTGCTTCAAATGTGGGCGGATCGGCGGATTTGTATACCCTATTACCTCCCCATAACTAATGAGATCACAGCAAGATGGCTGCCACAAGTATACCTGTCACGTTTTAGGAACTGAGTTACTATTTTTAGACTTTTGTATTTTAAACTTTACCCTAATCCTTACTCTAATCTTAATCCTAACCCTAATTCTAACCGATTACCTAATCCAAACCCTAACCCTAAGCAATCCTAACCCTAACTGCTCCTAAATCGTGACTACATGTGCCACAAGTTTCATAATATAATGTTTAAAACTCTTTTAGAAGAGATGAAGGAAGCTATATCTTTCAAGTTACATAGGAAAAGACATTTTCCTTATAATGCAGCTAATTTAAAGGCACAGTTCATTTGATTAATGGTTTTTAAGGCGCATTTCAGCCCTTTTAATTGAAAAAACTAACCGACGGGAAAATGAATTATGCATAATTCAATATCAGGAAACTCAATGTTTTTAGCGATAAAAATGTTTTAAAATGTTAAAAACATTTAAGTTTGCGGATCTTCAATTATGCATAATTGATTTTCCTAATTAGTTTTTTCAATTAAAGGGTGTCATTAAAATACCTATTAAAAGGGGTGAAATACGCCTTAAAAACCATCATTCAAAAGGATGAACTGTGCCTTTAAAAACATTGCGATCAGATTTGCAGAGATTTTGAGTTTTGACAGACTTTCAAAATTATCTAAATATTAATAAATTTATATATTAATATAATTTGGAATTTTAATTTCACGCATTGTTACTGGACCATGATTAACAAAATAAAGGTTTTATGAGTGTTTCATGATAGTGTTGGAATATGGGGCGCCGTTTGTTCATTTATTATTTAATACAAAAAAGCTTGACTATTTTATGAAACAATCCAAAAAAATGGATTGGATTGTTTACTAAATAATCCATTTCGGTAAATGGATTATTTTCTATATAATCCATTTAACAAAACGGATTATTTAATAAATAATCCTTCTGCAAAATGATTATTTATCATACAATCCATCTACCGAAATGGATTATTTACATATAATCCAATTACAAATTGGATTATTTAATATATAATCCAATTACAAATTGGATTATTTAATATATAATCCAATTACAAATTGGATTATTTAATATATAATCCAATTACAAATTGGATTATTTAATATATAATCCTTATACCAAATTAGATTATTTAATATATAATCCATTTACTAAAAATCTGAAATGGATTATTTATCAAACAAGAAATGGATTATTTATACGTTGTACTTCATGTCTCGGCAATTGTTACGTTCCTTTCCTATATTTTTCCCGCCATTGAACGTTATTACTATTGCGAGATTCAAAGATGGCCGCAGCAAATTCGGGGCGAACAGAGCGAATAAACAGTGTAAACAACGCGTTAAGGATGATTGACTCTCTAAGATCAGTCATAGCTGACCAAGACACTGAGCAGGTAAATAAATAATTCATATTTTTGTGAGTAATGCATGATAATTTTATATAATGTACACGATGGTCTCGAAAACGAAACGTAAGTCATCGTTTCATTATTTTGTTTGATGTTATCAGGTAATTATCACTTATTTACTGAGACCGAGGGAAACAGTGTGTTTTGTGGACCCTCGACCGTCGATGTTTCGCCTCGGGAAACATCGACGGTCGAGGGTCCACAAAACACACTGTTTCCCTCGGTCTAAGTAAATAAGTGATAATTACCTGATAACATCAAACAAAATAATGAAACGATGACTTATGTTTCGTTTTCGAGACCATCGTGTACATTATATAAAATTATCATGCATTACTCACAAAAATATGAATTATTTATTTACCTGCTCAGTGTCTTGGTCAGCTATGACTGATCTTAGAGAGTCAATCATCCTTAACGCGTTGTTTACACTGTTTATTCGCTCTGTTCGCCCCGAATTTGCTGCGGCCATCTTTGAATCTCGCAATAGTAATAACGTTCAATGGCGGGAAAAATATAGGAAAGGAACGCAATATTTGCCGAGACATGAAGTACAACGTATAAATAATCCATTTCTTGTTTGATAAATAATCCATTTCAGATTTTTAGTAAATGGATTATATATTAAATAATCCAATTTGGTATAAGGATTATATATTAAATAATCCAATTTGTAATTGGATTATATATTAAATAATCCAATTACAAATTGGATTATATATTAAATAATCCAATTACAAATTGGATTATATATTAAATAATCCAATTACAAATTGGATTATATATTAAATAATCCAATTACAAATTGGATTATATATTAAATAATCCAATTACAAATTGGATTATATATTAAATAATCCATTTCGGTAGATGGATTGTATGATAAATAATCATTTTGCAGAAGGATTATTTATTAAATAATCCGTTTTGTTAAATGGATTATATAGAAAATAATCCATTTACCGAAATGGATTATTTAGTAAACAATCCATTTTTTTTGGATTGTTTCACAAATCATTAAAATAATCAAGCTTTTTTGTATTAAATAATAAATGAACAAACGGCGCCCCATATTGGAAAAGCATTGAGAACAGGTAAGCAAGGTCGTGTGACCAGGGGCGCACATTCAATAAATTACTGGGGGGGGAGGTAAAGGTGGTTTCGGACGATCTGGGACTGAATTTCTTTCTTGTACTCTACAACCAGTAGCAGCGGAACAGGTTTTATTTTGGGGAGACTAATCAGTTCCACCTTAGTTGGGAACCATGCATGGTTAAGATTCTCAGCCATGTGCAAACACGACACGTAAAATATGATTGAACTGTAACAGAGAAGCATAACAGTAGGAGCTGTTAAAACTAGGGGGCGGGCAGGGGCATTCTCCCCCGGGGGAAATGTGCAAAATTGAGGCTTCGTAATGCCATTCCCTACACTTTCCGGGACCGATTTGAAGAATTTGAATGAAAAAATGTACCTCAATGTTCAACTGCAAAATAAAATAGAACTATTAGCAGATATTCAGATTATAGATTAATTAACAATTATTCGCCGAAGGCGAGGTGATTATCGGTGAATAAAAACCGAGACGAAGTCGAGGTTTTTATTCACGATAATCACCGAGCCTGAGGTGAATAATTGTTTTAGTATAATTTCATAGGTGATTATATGGAAAAAATAAAAAAATACACATTTCTTCGTCATTTAATTGACAAAAAAGGCTTCGGCCGCCATTTTGAAAATCGCTTAGGTGATTATCGCGTAATAATCACCTCAACGGCAACCAATCAGCGTGGAGAATTTTCAATAATCACCTATGTAATTATACTAATTAACAATTATTCCGCCGAAGGGGAGGTGATTATCGGTGAATAAAAGCCGAGACGAAGTCAAGGTTTTTATTCACGATAATCACCAAGCCTGATGTGAATAATTGTTTTAGTATAATTTCATAGGTGATTATTTGGAAAAACAAATTTCTTCGTCATTTAATTGACAAAACGTCTTTGGCCGCCATTTCGAAAATCGCTTAGGTGATTATTGATCGCGTTATAATCACCTCAACGGCAACCAATCAGCGTCATGGAGAATTTTCAATAATCACCTATGTAATTATACTAACTTTATTTATACTGCAGGATAGTCCTATCAGTTCTAAATTGTTCACCCTAGACTGGTCCAGTAAGGGTTATCTCGTATTGATCTAGTGTTACTACAGGAAGAAACCTAAACTAAACTGACTTTATTTATACTGGATAGCTCTATCAATTCTAAACTGTCCTCCCTAGAAGTCCAATAAGCATAGGCGTACCGGGCGGGGGGGGGGGGGGGGCGGTAGCCCCCCCAGTTTTTTGGGCAGTCGGGCAATATTCGATTAACAGTCGGGCAATTTTGGGTTGTTATAAAAAAAAATCGGACAAATTCTGTCATTTTTTTCGAAAATTTAGTCAATTTTGTGGCAAATGTAGTGTTTTTTTGAAAATTTATGTGATGCTCCGAAAATTTTGGTATGTTCGGAAAATTTTTTTGACCCCTTAAGTGGTACACTGACCGAAATTTTTTTGGCGACGGGGGGGGGAGGTCGCCAAAACAATTTTCCGGGAAAAAATTTTTGGTACTAGTCGGGCAAAATCACGAAAAGTGGGGCAATTTTACGAAAAGTCGGGCAATTTTCTTTCCGCCCCCCTAATTTTTTCCTTCCGGTACGCCCATGCCAATAAGAGTCATCCCTTACTGATCCAGTGTTACTACGGGAAAATGCCTAAACTAAACTAACTTTAGTGAGATCTAGTAAGTATAATAAAAACACAAAGTGCCCGGAAAAAAGATATTTAGAGGATTGGGCAAGAAAGTTAGTGAGGATGTGCTGATCACCTTGCAGGCGAGAGCTGAACTAAATTATACGATAGATGGACGATGAAGAGCTCAGT